TCTACTAGTTTTGTATTATTTTTTTTTTTTTTTATATCATAGAGGAAATCGTAGTAAAAACGTTTACATTCTTGCAGTTCAGTAACATATTTTGCGATCTAAAAATATGAAAAAACAATTCGCGCTTTTCAACTTGTTTTAAAATGAGAGAATTTTATTTGGCTTTTGTTTAAAATTCTATTATTTTAGGCTGTCCTTTTTTAGCGGAATTTCGGACCGAACTTGGTTCTCTGAGCTATCAAAACGTTTACCGCTCAGCGAATCAAATATCGGACCTCCGTCACGTCAAATCAATTAATTGTTATGTTTTTATATTATCCCATAATGTTTTCGAGTAAATATGGGTCGACCTCTGAATACCCTCCACCATTTGGAAATTCTCAAAAAAAGTAAATAAATAAATTATGAAATAAAAAATTGAACCCTTTAAAGACTCTGTTAAAATCTTAAAAATACCGAATATATGGAGTTGCTGTTATTTTGGTTCACAGGCTGTATTACCCATTACGAAGTACAAATACGAAATTTGAAATAATCTAGGAGGATAATGTAGCTAATCTCGTCTAAATGCCGAATATGGGGATGTACCTATAGTTAGGGGCTATACGATGTTATGGACCTGTTTGGGAACTTCAAATACGAAATTTGAAATAGTCACAAGCTATGGTGAACTTCATAAAAATGCCGAATATAGGGAGGTACCGACACATGGGGCTATACGATGACTTGGACTTGCATATGCAACATTCTGTCATAGACTGTAGTACCCATTAGGGATTTCAAATACGAAATTTGAAACAATTCCGGATATACCGAATATAGGGAGGTATCTTTAAATGGGAGCTACACAAAGATGTGGACCCGCGTAGCCATTTTTCCGTCACACACTGTATTACCCATTACGAAATAAAATTACGAAATTTGGAGCGATTCCGGTGAATAAATTCCGAATTTAGGGAGGGAATATATATTTTAGACACCCCTATATAACTGTATATGGGGGTGTCTAAAATGTATATTTCGAGGTGTTACAAAGGGAATGACAAACTTAACCCTCCATACTATGGTGGAGGGTATAAACAATTCTTTACCCCTTGAAATGATTGTTTAAAGTTCCTTGGTTATGTAGAATAAATTCGCTTAGTTATGGTATTTTTAATCGAGGTCAATGAGCTCGTTTTGGAAATTAATTCAACTACAACATACCGTTATTTTTTCATTTAAAAAAAGTTTTTCAATTAATTCCAACAAATTTTTTTCACTGTTCTTTATCTTATGAGATGAGATATTTAACTGAAGATGAGTTACATCGAGTTTTGGTTACAAAGCAATGTCTGTTACATTGACTGACCTGTTTGTTGTTCAATATGAACTGCATATGACACATTGACGAGCAATAGTATGTGGTCGTGATGGTGTGATTATATATAAACACATGTATTAATGTATAAATTAATTTCATATTTTACAACAACAATTTTGCATTGTGACTCATATTTAAAACTAAAAGCCCTTCTTGCACTTTTGCGTAACACAGTGTGTGGCATAGTTTTATTTTTATTTGGTCACGAGCATTCAACAAACATGTGCTTCATACAACTGGCTGGCACTTGCAAGAATCTGCCAACAACATACGTGGACCAATCATTGTCGGACACACATCACACAAGGTGTCGTTTCAAACAATTTGATAATTTGAAATTGGTAGTCGGTGAGAGTGATGCAACATTAATCGAAACTAAATAATCTTTTTTTATTTAGAGGATTTTTTGTGAGACTTCGTCTAACTGTTCGCCGACTGTTGAGACACAATTTTAAAGTTCTCCCAGTGATAGAAGACATTCAACGAAGGCTAACGTGAGTTTCCTATATTCAGAGTGTAGCAGCCGCATGTAAAAGCATTTATTTTATTGTTATTATTGACGCTCACTGTATTAAATAGTTACTCATTCGTTTTTGACACTGTCAGAATTCTGTTAAAATTATTATGCCTTCCACCATAGTATGGAGTTTAAGTTTGTCATTGCGTTTGTAACACCTCGAAATATACATTTTAGACCCCACAAAGTATATATATTAATATTGATCAGCATAAAATTCTATGTCGATTTAGCGATGTCCTTCGTCAGCCCGTCTGTGGAAATCACTCTAACTTCCGAACGAAATGAATTAGAGAGATACAATTTTACTCAAATGTATATAATGTCTGCAGGGCTTTTGGTATTGAAAATGGGTCATATAGGTCCACGTTTTGGTATAGCCCCCATATAACTGTACTTCCCGATATTCGGTATTTTGATGATCAAATTTGTTTCAAATTTGGTATTTGAAGTTCGTAATGGATACTGCAGCCTAAGGCAGAAAATTGTGCAGGTCCACATTTTGGTATATATTGATGATTTTAGCTACATTATTCACCGAATTATTTTTCAAGTTTCGCCTTTGAATATTTTAATGGCGTATGACAAAAAGTGCATAGGGCAGGTCCACGTCGTCGTTTAGACGGCTACATTTGGCGTTTTTAAGATTTTAAGAAAATTTTTAATCGATTTTTATTTTTTTTTTTGAAAATTGCCAAATCGGCCCCGCCGATCTTACAGCTTTTTTACTCAAATGAGTTTTCGTTTAATCTCAAACTCTTACTTACTTTTATTAATCACTCACTTAACCATAAGAAATAACAATGTAATATTCAAATTCATTCCTGTAAAACTGGCGAGGAAAAAAGATCAATAAAATGAAGCGGCTAATTTGTTGTTGTTGTTCTCTCTGTTTCGGAACGAACCTTAAAAGCGTTAACCAATTAAGACAATAATCATTCATTTAGGATTTTCTTTAAGATTTATAATTTGTTTTGTTATACAAAGGATTATTATCCAGCTTGAACGTTTATCGTTTGACAAGGGTTTAATTCGAAATATATCAAAAATGGTTATAATTCATATTTTTGAAAAGGGTATGTAATAATTTCCCGCGAGGATAAGTTATCCCCTTCTAAGGCCGAGCGCAGTTTTTCCATACATGGAACATCTTTAAAAAGTTTTCACATTGACATATTTTTCAGCATTTCTGTAAATGGAAAATCCCTGTCTATACTAGGGTTTTTGATTAGCTGTTCTCTTAAAAACGCACAATTACAACGCACACAAATAACTTACCGCACAAAAACATCATGAAACGTGTTTCACAAAAATCAGTCGGTTAAAATATCACTTTGGCGCCGCCCAGATCTGGACAAAACCAACATGTCCAGATCTGGGCGTTCTCAATTTGTCACCTGTCACCTTCGCTCTATAAGATCTGAACTGATAGAAGTGAAGTCGAACCCACCATATTCAAACTATATATATAGGTTTTAAGGAATTAATTTTAGTTTCTCGCCTTTGTGGGTTTATGGTATGCCTGAAATAAACTTTCTTTAAGCTTTTACGTTTTAGGCAGCAAAAGCATGTGGTCAGAGGGGCTATGAGAATACTTACTTTCTTCTGTGGAAACACCCCAAGGTCTTGTTAAAGTAGTATTTTTGGTCCATTTAAAAATGTCTATGGTTTTCTATAAGAAAACCTATTACTTCTCTAGAAGAAATCCTATTGGTTTTGTAGAAGAAGGTCTACATTTTATTATATGACTATATATATATATATATATATATATATATATATATATATATATTAATAGAAATGATTTTATAGAACGCCTGTAGGTCTATTGAAGATTTATAGGGAGAATATATGCCATCTTCTAAAAGGCCGGCCGGTCTTCTTATATATATATATATATATATATATATATATATATATATATATTAATAGAAATGATTTTATAGAACGCCTGTAGGTCTATTGAAGATTTATAGGGAGAATATATGCCATCTTCTAAAAGGCCGGCCGGTCTTCTTATAAAGAATAAAATAAATAATACCTACTCATAAAAGTCGAAAGATTTATAGGTAGACTAATAGTATAGTATAGTCATCTTGCAGAAGAACAACAGGCCATTTTACAGAAGTCGTAGGTCTTCTTGTACAAGACCAATTGCTTTTCCCTCAATTGGTCTTACAAGAAAAAATGAAAACAAATAGGTTCTTTTATGGAACCATGGGGACAATAGATCTGTAAAACAATAAACTTTAAGTCAAATGCAATTCAGTATCAATGTAATTTTAGGTTCGATTAAGTCGGGTAAATTCGGCTTATATCACCGAAGTCTTCTCAGGAATATTGGTATATGTAACAGTTTCGATGTTTCTCTGTTGACATGATCTTGAAGTCTTTGGGTTTGATGCTTATTTCTACCGTGTTAGTTGTCATTTTAAGGCCGCGGTGCAAGAGTGGTACGTTTTTTTTTCGTTCGCTGAATACGTTGTTGAGACTTATTTTGACTTTTCGGTGAATCTAGGCAAAAGTCGACCTACCTATCCCTACTTCTGGCCGTCCGTCTGTCTGTGGAAATCACGATACAGAACAATTTGTATTGTGTTTAGGATGGTTGGTTTTGAAAATGAGATATGTCGGTCCACGTTTTGGTATAATCCCCATATAACGGTACCTTCCAATATTCGGTATTTTGATGATTTTTGCCACATTTGTTCACGGATTTGTCTGAAAATTGGTATTTGTAGTTCGCAATGGGTTCTAGCTCCGGTGGCGAGACATTGCTTGAAAAGGTCCACGATTTCGTATAGTCCCCATATAACGGTACCTTCCGATATTCGGTATTTTGCCACATTTTTTTGTGTATAGGTCCAGGCTTTGGTATAGCCCCCCTATAATGGTACCTCCCGATATTCGGTATTTGAGTGATTTTTGCCACATTTTCCCATGAATATGTCTAAAAATTGGTATTTGTGGATTAAAATAGGTTCTAATGTTTCCTTTACTCTAAGGTGGAGGGTATTAAAAGTTCGGCCCGGCTTACCTGAACTTAATGATTTTTTACTTGTTATTTTCTTAAGTTTTAAATAAATACAAATTTGCGAGCAAAAAAGCATGATAACTTACCGAGCATCATGTTGTCGAACATTGATGACATCGTCATGTACAATTTCATTGGTACACCTTTGTTGGTTAGATGGCGACCGCCGCTACCCTTAAAACCGCCAATAACTTTTCGTTGCTCGATACGTTTAAAACAAATAATATTTTTACACAAAATAATTTTGGACAATACCGCGATCGTGTTGCAGTTACGGCGATCGCCCAACATAAACTTTTTATTAATGTTTGTACAGTTATTCAAATGAGAATGCCAACGAATCGCGGCAACGTTGCTCTGGCGATGCAAATGGTTTGCGTTTTGGATAGTTTGATGCATTGAATGTTGATGCATAGCAGCACCACACCGGTAAATGTTCGCGGTTGAGTTGTTTGGCAACAAATGTCGTCGAACGTGTTGAGACACTGCTGTTGCTGAGGTAGAAACGGTTACAGTTGTGGCTGATACTGGCATACAATAAAATGTGCTGTCAGCCAACATAATACAAGAAGTGGCACGTGTGACGCTTAAAGCGAAACTCTCCTGTTTACGTCGCGTTACACACACTCACACAAAACAAATGCACGTGATTGTATTTTCTTTGATAAGGAAATTTAATGGGGTGCCTCAAAGTATGCTTCACCAAAAACAATACCGAGTGCAGTATTCAAAAAAGAGACAATTGTTAATTAGTAATTGTTAATTAATCTTCACTTCACTCCACTTGGCTTCTGAATTCTTCTGGAATTTTTATTTTATTTTCAGGACTTGACAACCGACCAAGAACAAAGAAAACTAATTACAAACGTTCAACGAACAGAAAATCTTTGTAGGGTTCTTCACGAGCACTGAAAGCCATTTAGGATATTTGTGATATTACAACAAAAACACGAAATTTCATCAAGTGATTCAATTTCATCAGCAGCTGGTCACACAATTTTTTTTATTCGTAACTGAATTTTTCACAAATACTCTCGCGCAGGGTTGATTTCATAAAAATTAATTTATTTAATTTTTCTTTAATTTTGTTTGAATGAAATTTTAATATTTTTATTTGCTTGGATTTCTTTTCTATTTTATCTCCCTTATCTTTTTGAGGATTCACAAATAGCTAGATTAACAGATGAATTATCTCTTGAATGCGTGTGGTTTTCAATAGAAGTTTACGTTGAAACTGAGAGCAAATGTTGAACAGAAAATGTTCAAATAAATCGCCGACGAAATGAGCCAATTCGGTTTCTCGGTTGGGAATTGTTCGTTCGTTCGTTTCTTTTTTTTCATTCATTCATATAGCCCAACATACCAAATAAAAATAAAACTACAACACAACTTGAGAATAATATTATTAAAAAGAAATTTCACAACAAATTTTTAACAATACTTTAGAAATGCTTATTTGTACAAAGGTTTCGCAAGTGTGTCTGAAAATTTTTTGAACACACAACCATTTCGTAGTGAGTAGGCATTGCATTTGTACATAAATTTATTTGGTGAAAACAATTTGTTTTGCATTTATTGATTCATTTCAATGTAAAAAAGGTAATTCGCTGTGTTTTGCAAAAATTAATTGGTAATATTTTAAAAATGCCTTATAAATATAAAAAAAGTGTTAGAAGAGAAGCAAAAGAGGTAGTTGAACTTCTTTTTAGTGATAATCAACACAAAAAAATTTTATCATAAGAACGGTCGGAAACTAGTGAAATAAATAGCGACCCAGTTCCTGTGCAATGTGAAAATGAAAGTGAGAGTGAAAATGAAAGCGACGAAGCTCCAACTATGTCTCCAATTGAAAAACTTAATATTCAAGATGAGTTGGCTAAGTGGAGTGTGAAACGTTTAATTTCGAACTCTGCAGTGAATGAACTTTTAACAATAATGAGGAGGATGATACCAAGCCTACCAAAAGATGCTAGATCATTAAAAAAACCCTAGTTATAAAGTTAGCTGCCGGTCATTTATATGCGATTCACCAGCAAGATCCCTAGTTTTGGGTATAAAAAGCCATACAGGTTATAATTCCTGCCACAAGTGCACACAAACTGGGAAATACGTTCAGAAGCGCATGGTTTTCACACAAGAAAATAATGATTCTCGAACAGATGAAAATTTCAGAATACGTCACTGTGCAAATCATCATATAACAAACACCCAAATGGCAATAGAAAAGTTACCAATACACATAGTTCAATCCTTTCCATTAGATTACATGCACGTAGTTTGTCTTGGAGTTGTAAAGTCATTAATGAAGTCTTGGATCCGGAAAAAAAAATTGTTCGTTTTCGCTATCTCCAGCACAAATCGAAGTGTTTGATGATCAACTGCAGACGCTTAAAAGTCAAACTCCGAGGGAATTTTGTAGAGCACCACGAAGTTTAAAGGAATTTGAGCGAGACAAGGCAACAGAATTTCGGCAATTCCTTCTATATACTGGACCTTTTATATTAAAAAGTATATTGGATGAAAATCGTTATACTCATTATATGCAACTAAGCTTGGCTTTGCGCATATTATTAGATGAAAGCAAATGTAAAACATACAATGAGTGCGCACAAGCGTTGCTAACCAATTTTGTAATGAATGTCCCAGTGAATTATTATGAAGCATCTAGCAAGTGATGCTTTATTATATGGATCGCTAGAAAATATAAGCGCCTTTAAGTTTGAAAACAAATTAGGAAAATTAAAACGACTTCTTAAAAAGAAAAACCACGTATCCGTGCAGTTATATAATCGATTGGTTGAACAAAGTATAAACAGTTCACTTTCTGAAGAACATGTAAAAGTGGAAAGAAGTTCAAATACTTTTATTCAGAATGAAAACATATACTTGTCAATTTTTGCGCCTAACAACTATTATAGTGTTGGACAACATGTTTTCAAAGTTTCATCAATTGGAACAACAGGAACGCAGAAAGTGTTTGGATCAAAAGTATTGTTTTTGGAACCATTATTTTTCTATCCACTTATTCCTCTCTCTTGAATATATGGGAGACAACGGATTTATCTTTCTCAGAAACAATAGAGACACACTTTTTACATGAGATAGTTAAAATGGTTTCTTTCTCTCAAAACAGCAAAACTGTATTTCTTCCGCTAATTCACAATGCCTGAAGACTTCACAAAACTATTCTTTAGTCAGAAAAATGTTAACATGGGAGCTCCGCCAATAAATGAAAATTACCATAAACTTATAACAAATTCTGAAGGTAAAAATAATATTTTTTAAACATTTCTCCATAAATATGATAAAATCTTATTTTAGTTTTAGATATAGCTAACCAAGTAATAAGTGCAATTCAGCCTATGTTCATAAGGCTAATAAGCGAAGTGCAAATCTTGCGTAAGGAGTTGCAGGAGCTCAAACCAGAAAGAAAGAAAACCAAAACTTTAGTAATGCCTTCCGTTCCATTCAAGGATATTGAGTCGTTTCTGGAATTTGAAAAAGGTCTCCAAGAAATAAACGAAGCATTTATTTCTCTTGTAAGTTTCATTCTATAATTTGTTCAGGAAATGATTTAGTTCAAAAATACTAACTAAAACAAAAATAATAATATCACTATGCTTTCCCTAATTTCAGGAAAGCGAACTGAAACTTGTTGCCAAGGCACCAAATTTCGTAAGGAATTGCTGGAAAAAAATAATAACAGATGAATTGGGAGAACGACTCTGCTGGAAAGGGACGGATACAAAGAGAAGTGTTCGCAATTTTAGTACAACAAAAGCAATACGAAGTATTTCTATTTAACAATAGTATCTGAAAAAAACGCTTAATTTCTATATTTCATAGATGCAACTTTATCATTGGGCTACACGGAGGACGCATTCATTAAGGACACGCGCACTTTCTTTCAATTCGCTAAAAATCGCATAAAGCTGCGAAACGATTACAAAAACAAAAAATAAAATGTAAATTAAAAAAAAAAAACATAATAATATTATAACTTTCACTAATAATAGATGAACTAATTATCTTAATGTAAAACACAACTGAATTAATAAAAATGGAGTAAATAGTTTTGAAAAATATGTACACTTTTTTATAAATACATAAGCTTACGAAAATATTAGTTTTGTAAGCTTATTCTAAAATTGCACTAGCAAGCTTAATATAATATTACTTTCGTAAGCTTATTCTGCAATTACAAGAATAAGCTTATAAATAAGGGTTCCGTTTCGATTATTCTATAATTGTTAAACAAGCATTTCTCAATATATTCTCAAGATTTTCTCAAGCTTAAGGCTTATGTTTGTAAGCTTGTTAAAATATTATTCTCAAGTCAATTTGGTATGTTGGGAGAGTACACAAATTTCCGTCTGTAGTATTGGCGTTAGGTGTGTGTGTGTGTGTGTGTGCTTGCAAATTTTCGTATCTTTGTTAATTTAGCATGCCTGAGGTAGTCATTCACTTTGAACATTGTTGTTGTTTGCGTTGTATATTGACGTAATTTATTTGCTCATTTGCAAACTAGAGAGTCCAGTAAAAAAGAGAAAGAGAGATATAAACTAAAGTATCTCAAAATTGGTTTACCCTGTGGTAAAAATAAGTAGTTTGGACAATAATCTGTAGAAAAGTTAAAGAGTGATAAATTCGAAAATACTCGGAAAGAAAACGGAAATAGTAGCCTACACGGAATCTTGAAAATACATTATTCACCGGAATTGTTTCAAAATTGCGTATGCAGGTCCACGTCTACGTATAGACTCAAATATAACGGTAAATCCCTATGTTCGTTTTTTAGAATTTAAAAAAAAAGTTTAACGGTTTTTTTATTTTTTTGTTGAAAATTTCGAAATTCGTTCCAAATGGTGTAGGGGATAAAAAGTTCAGCCCGGGCGAACTTAAAGTCCTCTTTTACTTGCATTAAAAAATAAAACCGGTCTGTTTAAAATAACTCTGCAGTTTCTTAAGGAATCTCTAGAATTAATAGCCTGTAAAGCAAACTTATTTTTCTTCTAATTACAAGGCAAATTTAGGTTCAACTAGCTTCTCTAGGCAAATTTAGGTTCAACTAGCTACAACAATAACAAAACGAAATGTCAAAGTAGACAATCAAAAATATCAATCGTTCATTCATAGAATTTTAACAAAGTAAAACATTGTGTTTGAAAATTGGTATTTCACACAAAAGGTATGGTCCATTTTATCCGCTGTGCTCTTTTGATCTCAACAGGTGCATTTCTTCGCTGTTCTAAACAAAATAAGCCAAAATTAGTATATAATTATAATCAGAAAAATCTCTTGTCGGTCCATTTCAAGCCCTGAAGTTTTTTATACTGACACTAACCCTGACTCAACGCAAAATTTCATAAGTTTTGTGTCATAATTGTGACCAGTAGCGTGATTACAAATAAAAATGAACAGACGAACACACATAACTAAATCGACCCAGCTCGTCGAGATAGGTGCTTGAGATTTTCTCCTCTGTGTATGTTTCGCACAGGCTACCGCGAATCAAAGATTTCTAAAACTAATTATTTTTGTAGTAGTCCACACAGCAAACGGTCATACTCCCCATCGGGATTGTGTCCATTTTGGATGTGGACATAATCCCCATATTATTATAGAGGTTGTGACCAAAAATAAACTGGGCATAATCCATATAACTGCAATGTGGATAATGTCCGGGCACCGACACGGTAACTACAAAACCAACGGACGCAATCATTTTTAAGAAAAAAAAAAACAAATTTTCTTTTTGGAAACAATAACAAATTTTTGATAGTAGGGCTAGGTAAAGTAATTTTTTACTCCCAGGCGAAAAAAAGTAAATGGACTGAAATAAAAACTTGATTGTCTGGGTAGCAATTGCTTGTCTACCTTTAACAAAACTTCTTTGAACAACGAGTCGGGAGGGGTTCAATGTTAACTTAGTATAAATTTCTGTTCCAGAACTGCAAGATGTAAACGCTTTAGATGTAGGAATTCACTTATTAAAGAAGAACTCTGTCTAATGTAAAAACACGTAAATTACTGGTACTATCTAATGAATAATATTCAATAACTTTTCTATCTTGAGATTCTTAATTTTTTGACACAAAAATCAAACTAAAATTAAAAGAAAGTCAATATCTTTTATTTATACTTAACTTATTCAATTCAAATTTGATTTTCCATTGG